TTATGCCCATTTTCCCACCTGACGATAATGTTTCCAACTAATCTTTTCAGGAGCTTTCGTGATGGAAATGTCCAGAGAGTACATGAAACTTTTGAAGGATTCAAGAGACGATAATTATAGAGTGTATTCGGGCCGATGGTGGATACTGTCGACCTTGTCAGCTGCAGCAGTATCAAACGGAATGGTAAGTTATATTTTTTTATCACTTCTCTCACAAACGCATATGTGCGTGTCAACGTGCGCTAGTCTTGGAATTTGATTAGGCCCATGTCCCCTAATTGCAGCTGGTGTAATGTTGATGTGCCCTAACGTGGCACACTTTGATTTTTCTCCTGTAGCGCCTAGCTAGCGCAAAAGTTGTAACTGAAATTTCACAGAAAGTGAAATTTTATCAAGTTCTAAACACTCTCGTTCATAAATCACGAGTTTATCTACGCGTTACAAAGTTAGAAGAATGACTTATTTCGGCGTAATTTTCAGATTCCATTTCGAAGCGTACGGTGAACCCTTCGAACAGGTCCTCCTATAAGAAAATAATTTTCTGACAAACTTCTAGTTGGGTGTGTCAGTAGAGATACATTTCTTCTTTTGTAGTACTTTTTCCCGCGTTATAACTAATCGAAACAGACCTAAGAACATGTTTTAATGACTTTTTTAGAGTAGAGAGGTGGATCCACTTTGTTTATTTTATATTAAAGTCAAAAATTTATCAACTTTACAGAATTTTTTTAAATGTTAATGTCGAATTTTCAGAGATTTGTTCAAGTGCGCCATGTTAAGGAACACTCAGCAAATTTTGTGCCAAATTTCCGGACGCCACCGTTTTTGAATTTCGGATTGAATTTTATGACACCGAAATTGTTCACAGAAGAGAAATAGCAAGCATTAATAAGGGGATAGCACCAGTATTTCACTGAATGGATTTGAAGGCAGTCAACAAAGAAGTTGGGCAACACTACATGGGGAAAGTTGGGGGAAAGAAAGGGTATCGTGAACCCTCGGAAATCAATTCCTAATTGATGTCTTTAGGTCAGAAAAATGCGTAGAAAACGATTTGTTATGTTAAAAAAATTCAAAAAATGTCCCACGCATTGTTTTTATGCAAATTAGTGCCGCCATTACCGAAAAATCTATCGTTCACTATATCTCAGCTAATATTGCAGATAACTGAACGAATAAGGTGTCTAAACCCATTTTTTTTTTCAGGGTCAAAGATCACAATAAAACTATTCTGGAAATGGCAACATGTGTCTGTGGCATAAGAATTTGCAAATTAGTGCCGCCATCACCGGAAAACCATGTTTTTTGGTCATACCCCGGCCAATATTGCACATCACTTCACAAGTAATGTGTCTAAACCCATGTTTTGAGGGTCAAATATCATTCTAAGACCATTCCTGAAGTAAATATGTGTGTCATGTGTGTCCTTCGCATGTAAATACGTAAATTATAAAGTGCCGATTTATTTGATTTTTAGCCAATATGTCATCCAATATTGCGGCTAATATTGACAGGTTTTTTTGAGGGCAATACTTTCGCAAGGTTATCTTTCAATTCTCATTCTTTTTCTCATTCCTGATAAGCAGTAGTGATTAAAGTTGATTTTAAGCCATTATATGCAAAAGAAACTGTAATAGGAGCGCAGATGTACATATGATGTGCATAGATAGCTTAAAATAAACTTTTATCACTACTGCTTATCTGGAATAGGGAAAAGAATCGGAAATTGAAAGTAAAATTGCGAAAGTATCGCCCTCAAAAACCCCTCTGTGGACATTAGCTGAAATATTGGCTGAGATATTGGCTAAAAAAGCAAATTTCTGATAAACCAGCACTTTAGAATTTACATATTTACCGTATGCCAAGGACACACTTGACTTACATATACTTTTGGAATGGTCTAAGAATGAAACTTGACACTTAAAACATGGGTTTAGACACCTTACTTGTGTAGTTATGAGCAATATTGGCCGAGATATGGCCCCCCAAAAAATGATTTTTCGGTAAAGGCGGCACTAATTTGCATATTCCTATGCCACAGACACATGTAATCACTTCCAGAACTGAACAGTCTTATTGTGATCTCTGACCCTGAAAACATAGGTTAAGACACATTTTATTCGTTCAGTTATCTGCAATATTGGCTGAGATACAGTGAAAAAAAAAAATCGGTAATGGCGGCACTAATTTGCATAAAAACAATACATGGGACATTTTTCAAGTTCTTAACATACTAAATCGTTTTCTAGGTATTTTTCCTGACCTAGAGACGTCGATTAGAAATTGATTTCCGAGGGCGCACGATACCCCCTTCTTCCCACCCAACTGATAGTGGAGGGAGGAGGCTTGTACCATCTGTCGATGGGGGCGCTGTTCAAAACGGATATACACACTACGGACGGTATGGTTGCAGACCAGTAAATAAGCTGTCATAAACCCCAATGATAAATGCCCCCACTTCAGAAATTCAGGAAAAATACTTACAACTCTCCAAGGTGTTCAAGATACATATCAAATTAAACCTTATTTCATCATCTTTCATTTTCTTTTCAATTTTTTTTTTTTTGAGGGGGGTAAACCAATGATTTTTAGGAGAAATTTCCATCCGAAGATGATCACCCCTTAAAATAGTCCTGAAGCCCATCGCCTTTTTGAAAAACGATGCCTACACTCCATTGCAAACTAGAGCGATTTTAGGGCCCTATTTTCATCCAAATTGCACAGAACTTCAAGCTCACAGTCCTATCCTGTGCACGGCTCCCACCCATATTTTTTTTACAAACCCTCAAGTTCATGGCCCACAACATGCTCAAATACCGAAGAATTTGAGGGCATGCAAATCGTGATTTGGACGGCGTAGGCAATTTTGGACCGATTTACTGGCCTGCAATTACCATGTGGGGGTTTACAGGGCAATTTGTGCGAAATTTAAAAAAAAACACCCGCTGGCACTAAAAAGGGCACTTTTGTTGTGAAAAGGGCACTTGTTCAAACAAAGGAGGGGCACTCTTTACAATATGGGGGGGGGGGGGCAGGGGTAAGCGCTGATGAAAAATGGCATTTGAATGGAAAAGGGCATCGGGGGTAAATCCCCCCCCCCCCCCACCGCTGGCTACGCCTATAGGGTTGCAGACCAGTAAATAAACTGCCATAGACCCCAATGATAAATGCCCCCTCTTCAAAAATTCAGCAAAAAATACTCACAACTCTCCAAGGTATTCGAGACACACATCAAATTAAAGCTAATTAAATCATCTTTCATTTTCTTTTCAATTTTCGGGGGTTAACTGATGACTTTTAGGAGAAATTTCCATCGGAAGATGATCACCCCTTAAGATGGTCCTGAAGTCCATCGCCATTTTGAAAACCGTACACTCCATTGCAAAAAAGAGCGCTCAGTTTTAGGGCTCCAACTTCATCCAAATTGCAGAGAACTACAAGCTCACAGTCCTGTGCACGGCTTACGCCCACATCTTTTTTTTTTACAAACCCTCAAGTTCATGGCCCACAATATGCTCAAATAACGAAGAATTTGAGGGCATGCAGATCGTGATATGGCCGGCGTAGGCGATTTTGGACCGATTACTGGCCTGCAACCATAGATAGTCCAAAAAGGAAACCAAATGGTGGCCCTATGTTTGGAAGACGTTCTGCATGTGGCGCTTCCAGATCTAAAAAAAAGAAGATATCTCATTTATTGACGTGTGCACCTTTTTACCATTTATATTTTTTTGTGAATTTTATGGCTCGCTCTTGAAGAAGGTAAGGGAGGCTGAAGGTAGGGCTGGGGATGAGCTTGATGGAAGGGGATCAGCATTCAGGCTGATTTGCCAACGTGTAGGTGTCAAATTTTTTTAATGCCAACAATTGTCCTTACACGTATGTACAACACATCATCACTATTACCACACTTCCCCCCCCCCCCTACTTACCCCAATACTTTTAGAGGTGATCATCTTTGGATAGAATTTTCTCCCAGGAGTCATTGGGTAACCCCCAAAAAATTGAAGAAAAAATGACAGCTGATGAAATAAGCTTTGATTAATACGTTTAAATTGATGCGTGTCTCAAACCACTTGGAGAGTTATGAGCATTTTAAATAATTTTGGATGGTGTGCGTAATTATCACTGAAGTCTATTGCAGTTTATTTACTGGTATGATACTTTCTTTTGTGTCGGCCATACCTCAAAAAAAAAAACACATTTTAGTCTGTTTCTCTGACCTGAAAATTCTCCGACGCCCCAACGTCTATGTTATAGTAGGTCAGGCAGCCACCACCGGGTTAACAAATAAACATGATGGCCCTTTTTAAAAGCTCGACTTCGTTTCCGCTTTGGCTTTATCATTAAAGCATTTAATGTCCCGATCAAATTACAAACAAAATCACTTGTTTCATATATCACTACATTTTGATTTCCCTGTAAGAAAAACATTAAGCTGTTGAGCTGTTGATGTTGGGCTGGAGCCTTCAAGATAGGAACCCAAAAAGCAGGCGAAGCCGAAATGGAGAGGACGTCAAGATTTGAAATACACTTAGTAACCGTCGTCAGATTCAAAACAAGCAAAGCTCGCGCTGGCACGATCCAAATGCATATTATGATGACCTGAACATGTACGTTGAAATTCAATTGTTTTTTAATGCACGTAATGAATATAATCAACTCATGGGTTTTTTTTTATTAAGTAAATACCCAGGCAATGTCGACGGAAAACGGGAGGCATTCCTCCCGTTTGTATAGTCACTTGCCGTGGCGGCTGCCTGACCTTAGATTCATCGGAATAGTCAGAATCTTTGGTCTGGGATCCAGACTAATAGGCTTATTGAGATTGCTCAGTGAGAATTATTATAATTTCTGCTCATGCGCTGTGGTTTTGCCAAGGCCGAATATTTGCTTAGCTTACTTATGAATGGCTTCACACAATAGCGCAGCCTAGACTGGCCACGCACCGGCTAGTATTTTCACTGGTTACAAAGGTCGATTTTTGTAGCGTGTACAGAGCCACGCCCACACGCTCGCTCGGGGCCGGGCATATTCAATAGCATTGGCAGAATTCCCTTCGCATTCTTAATATTGTTTAATAATTGGCCAGATATGTGGCGTGACTGTGCTATGCATGATGAGTAATCATCGTCTTGAATAGGAACATTTGAATCGGTTGTAATATATTATCACCGTGTTTTGGAAGCGTGTGACAAGCGGGTACAGTGTTAGCACGTGTTGTGTACGAGAAATCGGCGTGTGAGCATGTACATGTACATGTACATGTACTACGGGAATACGGGATAAACAAACGCAGACACACAGGTCCGAGTGTATGTTGACAACGAACCGATCCGAACATGGAGAATCTTGGAATAGAAATGAGCACTCCGTCTACCGAGGAGTTTGATATGGACCGAAACGGCTCACCGACCCATGTCAACGTGGAACTAGTGGACGGAGGGGGCAAGCCTAGCTACAGGTTGTACAAGATGAGATGGTGGGTGTTGGCCACCTTATCGGTATTGAACTTCTCAAACGCCATGGTGAGTATATAGCCTGTACGTGTACATGTACACATGATGACAGTGTCCTGCGTGCGTGTGGCATGGGGAAAGCCTCTTCGTACACAATGGAGGTTTCATGAATAGATCCATAAAATTAAGCAGACCATTTCAATAATCGCAGAATATTGTGCAACCTAAATTTGACGTACTGTATACATGTACATTATTTTTTAACAATATTGTTGACAGCTGTGATGTGAGATTGTGCGTTTTTAACACCCGAGGGGTGCATGGGATAGCGGTTACCCGAGGCGTGGCCAAGGGCCAGTGTGGTACTTATATTAATACATTTATATTATTGACAGAGCGTGTGCACAGCAGGTGAATCACTATTTTTCTTTTTATTATTATTATTATTATTTTTGGCAAATCCGGTGTTCATTAATTTTTCAAAAACTGGTGGGCTTTGGAAATGCATACCTAGTTCCAGGACATCATCTTTTTCTCAAACGAACTGTGGGACTAAGTAAATTCTTATTTTGAGCAACCCCTTCCCCAAACCTGTCATAAATCATGTCTACTTTCAGACAATGCTGGTTATAGGTCCTCCCCAGCCCCCAAACCGAGATACGCTTCAAAAGCAAAAATCTAAATCAATAAATAAATCATTTATGATATCCGAAGCAGGATTGCGCTGTGGGATGCCGGGTCACGACTACATACATAATGTGCCCAGCCTGCTAGAAGTTATATATTAACTTCACGAATGTAATAATTACATGCATTAACGAGCGCAATATCATAAGCAGCATTTTAATAATGCTGCAAAAATCAGATGTTGCAGACGCGCTATCATGTATAGTGCGGTGGTTTTGAATTTCGGGTGTGACCACGCGTGTTGCTATGGCAACCAATCACACCATCCGGAACACCAGACGTATTAACAATTTATTAAAATGTTTAATCTATGGCTCTCGTTTCGCGGGGTTAGTTTATCTTTCGGTAACAATTGATTGCGTTGGACGCAATATGTTGGAGTTATGGGGGAAAAACCTGATTTATGAATTGGGGAGTACGTATCATTTCCCTATTCCGTGCGTGAAAGCAATATTTCTTAGTATCCTGGGGAATTTCCCTGACTCCTTGCATTCCATTTTTGAAATGTGAGGTAGATAGCACCATAATACTGCTGAATCTACCATGTACTATACTGCATTGTTATCGCAAGATGCCATGCATATGGACTGAAACCAGATTTAACTTTCGTTTTGTATCGAGCCTAATCCTAACACCCTACAAAAAAATTACAACCCATTAACGGAAACGAAACGTTGCAGGGAAAGGATTCGGAGAATTCTGACCTTTTTTTTCCGATGCCTTATAATTTTTCTGATAAATGACACATATTTCCCTTTATCACCGAAGTAAAGTGCCACCAGCATCAACAACGTTTCGCAAACAGCGCCTTCAACTGATTGGATACACAAGAACAATCAACCTACAGAAACGTACCGTAGAGTTGGCGCACTTATGCGAACCTACCAACAACTACTTTCTGATGGCCTGGGGATTGTTGGTATTGGCTTGAATCACCAAACCACTCAAAATGCCGAACAACAATTATTAACACGTTACGATGTAGTCACTGAGCAAAGCCCGTGTGCTGCACATTTACAGACGTCACCGTGATGATAATATTGTAAAATGTCCCTTAAAGGCACCTATAGGGAACATTGTTAATCACCAGGAAGCGCATGTACCGACTGAAAATTATCTAGGAACGCCCCTTGCTCAAAGTGAAGATAGGGGCTGTACCTGTACCTAATACCCTGTGCAGTTATTCCGCCAGAAATGGTATCGTTTGGAAGAAAACAAATATTGAAGATGGTTCTAAAAAACGGTGTGCCCACGTGCGTACGCAACGGAATCCAGTCACGAATTCTCTAAATCCCAAAGAGTGATATTAGGGACTAAACGATTTTGAGTGAAAATCACTCTCATGTTTGATTGAAATAGTCTGAAAAAAGAATCTCTTCAGACGAAGCTCGAGTGAAAACTCGATCTTTACGATTGAAGGAATTTCACTCTAAAACGTCTGGTCCCTAGTTTCCAACTGTTGGAGTGCATTGTCACTCGAATGGAGTGAATTTTCACTTTTTGGAAATACCCCCCCCCCCCAAAAAAAAAACACAACGTTTTCTCTGTTTTCTAATATCAACTGGGCTAAAATTTTAACGAGTTAGTTCTTATCATGCACCTTGCTTAAGTGTTTGAGCAATCATGTTGCTTCAAATGAAGAAAAGAACATTACTATCCTATATACATGTACATGTCGGCGCACACCTTTCCGATTTTACCGGTTCACCGGTATACGGGTTTTTCACCTTTGCGGAGACCGAAACGTTAACCGCACACATGACCGATTCCGTTATATAATCGATCACACAATGAACAGTCACATGATGACCAATCAACAATTATTTACCACATATCAAGTGAACAACTAAATATGTCGCCTGCTTTGGAATAGTTTCTTGTGGGTGCAGACCTGCAAATTGACTCCCATGGACTTCAGTGATAATTACGCGTATACTCTTCCAACAAATATTAAAAACAACCCTCCAATGTGTTTGACACACCCATCATATGAAAGCTTATTCCATAATCTTTCATTTTCCGTTATTTGATAACTTGGGAGAAAATGACATCAAAAAATTATCACCCCGAAAAGTAGTCCTGTGGCCCACCCCAAGTTTGAAAAATGATGCGAGCGCTCTGTTGCACAATAGAGCAATTTTAAGGCGCAATTTCTTGAGAATTTTACAGAAATACGAGCTCACACTCCTGTGCTTGGCTTCCACCCATCTTTTTTGAAAACCTTCAAGTTTATGGCCCACAAAATGCTCTAATAAATAGCAAATAATTTGAGGGTACACAAATTGTGATTTGGCCGTGTAGGCAATTTTCGGCCTAATACTGATCTGCACCCTTGCAGCTTATATTCCACGACGGTTAGTGTGGTCTCGCTGATGTGGCGTGTGCGTTAAATCGCTGATCTGAATGCTGGAGGTTAAATTCCTGGAGGGAATTTTACATTGTCATTTTTTCTTCAAAGATGAATTTTGTACCCATAATTGTGTTTTATCAACTCCTATTGATCGATAAATGAAATTCAACCTTTTCTTCTCATTAATTTTTTTTTAAAGGGAAATTAAGTCAGAGAACCATTCCGTTACAACTGACGCGTGCGCATTATGGTCATTGCGACCAGTCCCATTATGACAAAAAGACAGCCGTCAATTAATCATGTCACTTCCTTCGTGATTCTGATTGGTCAACATAAACATCGCGTCCGGTGAAATCGGAGTGTTGTATGCACACCTTTCCGGTGACATCGGATCAGGTGAAATCGGATGCGAAAAACTCAAACATGTTTGATTTCATCCGGTCGGATCGCCCGGTGTACGGTCGGATCAGTCCGATTTTTCAGCGCACGGCACCTGTGTAAGATGGCCCGATGATCCGATAAAATCGAAAAGGTGTTACTATATGCAGCGGTTTTAATAAGACAACACACCAAACTATTAATTAACGATTTTAGTCTTTGTTTGTTTGACTTTTTTTAAGAGCGGGTTTCACCGTCAAAGATTTCTACACATTCGAATTCCTTGTGAATAATGACCATCCCAAAATGTAAATAGCGCCCTCATCCTCGACAAAGGACAGTTACCTTAGTACGAAACCCAGGAAATAAAACACGGGAATATTGAATATTTCATGCAATAATTCAGGCTTTCATGTCGTCATATTCACGTGAATCCATGCATACAAATTGCATTTCAATTTAATAAATAAACCATTACCCTTGCATAAACATGTATTTCCAATGTAAACACAAAAAGTACCAAGCATCCAAAAATCGTGAAAGCATAAAATACCCTTTTGTAATTGAAGAACACAAAACGCGAATCCTGCATGGTCCTAGTTTTAAAAAAATATTGGCCGAAGAAGGTTATCTGTATTTTGAAGTAAGCCTATAAATCCTACTTTTGACAACTAAATTCCAATATAAAGCTTGCATCAGTGAAGTCGTATTGCAATGACGCGGTTTACTTTGGCATTACTGGATCGATTCCATGCCTGAGCGCCCATTACTAGTGCGTCTTGAAAAGGTCTAAACACGTCACTTAGAGGTAACAATAATACATATTTTTGCAAACACCAAAATACAAAACGAACCATTTTTATATGCAATACCTTACTTGGTTGTCTAGTCTCAATCGTACAGTGAAATCATGGCACCTGCTGTGCTGTGATTTCCAAGAAAAGTTGATTTTTTTTTTTCGATTTCCATCGTTGTAAAAAAAGAAGACTTTTTTCCAAATACCGCTCCCAATTTTATCAAATTCAGTTAGTCCACATTTTGTTTGCAATCGGTTACACATCCCGTGAACGGGTACAAGCCATCTAGTCTCGCTTTCTGACCTGACAATTGCCCGGCGTCTATAAATTTCTCCATTTCGTCTGAAGTAGGGCCAGGCAACCAGACTATACAAAACAGCATGTATTTTCTTGTTTTTTTTCCAGCATCTATGAACACAAGACTTAACAGATCAGTGTATTACAATAATTATGTGCTATAAAATACTAACCCCCCAATCTATCCATTTCTGAAAATTACAGCCAAAGCAAATGTTGTTAAAGTGTAATTACAAAACTGGGATAACTAGGATCGGTATACAGTCGAACTACTTTATAACAAGGTCCTTGGGACTAAACAAATTACCTTGTTACAACACGTACCTTGTATTATCAGTAATGAAAACAAAGGGGGAAAAAGAAAAACAAAGACTTAGGGCCTAACATTTTCCTTGTTGTAAGCAGGCTGTTGTATTAACAGTGTTCTTCTTATCAGAGTTAGGTAGCACAATCTTTCCGCCAGTAGTGTTTTAAATCTAACAAAAAAAATAGCATATCTGTGTTCAGATAGGTCTAAACACTGTGTTCAGACTCCGTATTCCGTTTCGAGTTTTGGCGGATGGCCGAGTCTAGCTTCTTCAGAACCGGCATGAGCACGGCCATTTGGAAGATGATTGCCAGAAAGAGAGCAGCTATGACGTAGAACATGACAGCGTAACTTCTCTTGTCGTCATACAGCCGGCCTGTTATTAGATGGTATTCGGAGGGAAAAATATTATTGAGATGAATGCCGTGAACTTCATGTTAAACTGGGATACCTATACATGTACAACCATAACCCTAACCCTAAAAGCGACTTCTGGATGGTGGAATTTTGACAGCGAATCGACCAGCCGCCCCTGGCATGCATGCTAGGTGGTTGGGTTGTTAAGACGTCTGCACCAGTAAGCAGAAGGTCATGGGTTTGAGTCTCAACCGAACAAGCTTGTGAAGTTTTGCAGCAGGGTGCACAGAGTGCTTTCAATACGACGTCGGTGCTTCATCTTAATTTACGATTTGCTATTTAATCAAGGAAGCGCTACTAACTGTTCAAAAATTGAGCCGTTTAAAGTGTCTACTGCAGATGTACAAACGCACTTGTGCATCTGCTCTGCTCACAATTTACAAACTTAGTTACGATTTTCCCGTACGCTTCTATTACAAAGATCGGCTTACCTGCTATCACGGGTCCCAGCAAGTCACCGATTCCCCGGAAGATATCCGCCATTCCCAGTCCCTGGCCGTAACACGCCACTCCGACCAAATCCCGTACCAGCACGTTATGGGCCGACTTCATCACGCCAGTTCCCAGCCCCATAAGGCCTGCCGAAGCAGCAAGCGCCCCGTAGCTGCCGAACTGCGCGGCCAGCACCCCGACGAAGCAGGTGAGTGTAGAGCCGGAAAAGACCACCTCTGCCGTCAGTTTAGGGTTGATCAGGCAGCCACTGGCCAACCGTCCGATCAGGCTACCGAAGCCTATGATGCTCAGCAGGGTGGCCGCGCTGGTCACCCCCACGTCGATGCTCTCAGCCCGCGGCACGATGAAGACAAGAAAAGCCGCGTAGGAAATGTTGAGCTGCACCTGAATGAGACAGAAGAGCGCGAACCTAAAATTCCTGCGGAACAAACTGAATCCAAGAGAGGAGAACACTTTGGAAACACAACGGAGGGGTGCCTTCTCGTTGGAGTCTTGGGCACGAAGAGCTTCCTCCTCGCTTGGTAAGGTATCATTCCTCCCCTTGTTATCACAGCCTTCCAGTTCTAGGAGGGCTGATGTGGAAGGACGTTCCTCACTTTGGCGGCTTTCGCCGACCTGAGGGTACTCAACGTGTTTCCGTCCCGGCTGCAGAGGCCGGAACACCACAGCAGCGACGCAGATGTTGCCGGTGATGCTGGCGAAAATCAGCATGGCTCCTCGCCAACCGTATTGGTCCTTGAGCATCCCCAGCAGTAAGGGCTGCACGATCATCCCCACGCCTACGCCAGACATGACGAAGCCGTTGGCGATCGTGAAATACTTCTTGAAGTACTGGATGACGACCACGTTGGCTGCCATTATCACAAACGCAATGCCCAAACCTGCTCGGGAAAAGTCAGGTAGTAGATGATTACTAAAACATCTGCGCTTATCACCCCATCATTGACAAAGTAGTTCTTCATTGAACAAGATCTGTTTTAAGACCCTGTGGATGCTTGGAGATTAGATCATCTTAAAGCACGTATACTTCGCACACTCATATACATAAGTTGAGTAAAATGTTTCATTCCAATAACTCTTGGTGAAAAAGACCATAAAGATGTCGGACAAAGTCACATTGTGATAATAACTTAAGAACTATATTATGCTTGACATTGGTGTTTGGAAGACATTCACACTCTACAAAACTAGTCTCGTCGCACAAGAACTAGGCCTACCCTTATAATAGTTCAAGTTGCTCAAACACAGTTTCACGAGGATAAGACAAATGACAATGTTAGACGTAGCGCTGGTTATCAATACCCACGTGTATCGTAATGTGCGGCGGCCATGGTCGGGTACCAGGAGCATGAGAAAAATGTAAGGCCATACCTGCATTTAGTTTGACAATACATGTAACTTTTTTGCCTAGTATAAGTGCGCATGCGTAAGATACGTTAGGAATCACTCACTGGTCAACCAGAAGAGCTTGATCGAGCTTATTCTAGAAATATCCATTTGAAAAAAAAATCTGTTTTCCCTTTTTTTTTTAGACAATCGGCTTAAATTGCTCAAATATTGAAACTTGTACCTGCAATCGCACACACGGCATACATCTGATAAATAGTGCGCACCCAGTAGCTTCCAAACAAGCCGACGACCATTACCATTCCGCCCAGAATACCGGTGAAGCGGCAGCCATAACGACCACACACAACAGCCGCCAGCGGTGCTGGAGTAAAAAAAATGGGCAAAAGATTCTGAATAAAAAATGAGTTCCCGTTTCCCCCACGAGAATCAGAAAAAACCGTCGTTCTATGCATGACATCATTAGGGTATACGTTTCCTCGTTATACTGATCTGAGCTTTCTATGACGACCTTTTTTTAACTATAATTTCAAAATTAATTAGCTTTTTTTTTTTTTACTGAACTCAGGGCTGTTCTATTAGGCTATACAATGTATATTAATATGTTCCACACAGGGGCGGCACCAGACTCTAAAAAAAAAATTATTATTATTATTTTTTTTGGGGGGGGGGGCAAGTGAGGGGCAAAGAAATAAAGGAGGGGGCACATATAAAAATCACCGGCCGAAGGGGAGGGGACATCATTAGACGCTAGGGGCGCTGTTCAAAACCGTTCATATACGTACATAAGCGCGTTTTAAGGCCATTTCCGAAGGTTTCCAGTCTCAAATATACATTCAATGTAGGGTACAGTATTGACTTCGAGTCTCTTCTTTTCTTTTTCCCTTCTCTTTTACCTTACTTGTTTTCTTTTTTTCTACCAACTCCTGCTTTTAATTCATCAATTTACATGTAAGAAAAAGATGTGTAGCTACTTACATCCAAAAAACGAGCAACATCCGACGACACTTCCGATTGTCGCGGTCTGTAAGGCGCTAGTCTCGAACTCGTGCAGCCAACTTGTGTAGAAAACTCCGGAACAGCGAAGCATGCCCATCGCCAGTGCGTACATGACGTGGGCTGAAACGGCAACTATAAGTCCCCAACCTCCATCCGGGGGCGGGACTTCTATTGCGGGTGTTTTAGCCATTTCGCATGGTATATGGTGCTTCTTTTCACAGCTTCGCCATCTTGGTCAGGTTTTCAGACTGCCGTCTACATTTCCGAATCAAATTCATCAGAAGCCCCGAAGAACCACGCAGTCGTACCTTTTATAAGAGAAAAACACACGAAAAGTGTTCATGTTTACCTCGTGATCCATGCATTAAATTAAAAATGCATGATGATAAAGCAAAATAGAACTCCTATAAGTGAACCCCAACAACGGGTAATCCAACAATTCTGATAAAGTTGAAATATATCATTTCGATATCAGAACAGGCAAGTAACATCTTTCCAATGGTACAAGTATCTTACTTGCACTCATGGAGTCACTGGTGACGTGTTAGGTAAAATCCAGATTGGGCTTATTTTGAGCAGACAGAATAACTGTCCACACAAATACACCGTCAACGTGGACTGTGTTGAAAGGGGAGGCCCACGCAATCCACATATGCGACTTGATGTGCATCGTTTGTTCAGCTCATTCCAGTCAGACCAACTAGTACAAGTCGTGTGTTTGTACTTGGATTCAATGTTTCTCAGCCATCCATGACTGCAGGAGTGCAAGCATTGTATCAATGGAAAGCTATTCAATTATTTAGATGTGACCACGATGACGGTGTTCGAGTTCATGATTTTAACAAATAAATCCAGTTTTGTATCTTCGATACACAACCTAAAACACGCGTTGTGGCGACAGAGTGACTGCGCCCTTTGGCTATTGGTGGATCCAGGGGTGGGACCAACGCCCCCCCCCCCCCAAAAAAAAAATTAATAATAAACAACACAACAATCGATGTGTTTTTTTGCTTCAGGAAATAAGTTAAAACGTTGCGTATCTCCCTCCAAAGCCATCAGCTACACATACATTTTAGTTCACTTCCAAAATCTAATCGATTTGCACTTGTACCAAGGACAACCCCTAAGAAAATTCATGCAAATCCGTCCATAACTTTTTGAGTTATCTTATTAATAGACAAACCAACCAACAAACAAACTAACCAAATCTGATTTAAACAATCCTCCTTGGCGGAGATAATAACATCACCAAGTACATGATATAAATCCTTCACTTATTATTACGACATCGAATCAGAATACAGGAAGAAATATGGGAACGAAGTCAGTGGCCAAATATTTATTTCCACATGCTCATATAACACATGTCCAACATCGAAATTCAAAATCAAATTTAAGAAAGTGAGAAGTAAAAATCCAATCTGACAATCGCTGACATTGACCTGACCGATCGTCATTTGTTTGTGGTCAGTCACCAGGTACATGGACACCAACACGTAACACTCTGGCAAGTGGCAGATAAATGTAAAAGGTTATCCGAACATTTCAAACACAAGGTCTTTTGGCCAGGATTGTAGCAATGAGTTTTGGTACAAAATACACACAATATCGCGGGGAAAAGGGAGTTCATATTCTTGTAGCTAATCATGGTAACTGATATGGATGTGCTTTTCCACGGATGCCAAATTTTCAGTGGGGAGGGGGCGTCTGGGGGCTCGAACTTTCTATGGGGGCGTGCGCCCACCCCACGCCCCCCCCCCCCCCTCCCCCGTAGCTACGCCACTGCGAACACCATTCCTAGCATCGATATTTTTAGTCAATCCCTTTTTAGTTTTAAATCTTCTGTCGGGCAAACTTCACAGAGGCCCATATTTCCCCTTTAATGTGGGGCTACCATCGTTGATTGGAAAGTCAGACCCAGAGTGAGCCTATTTCATTTTATTGTGCATTTAATGTTTGTTTTTAATTGTGGGACTATACCATCATGGTATTTTACATTAATGGTGATGTGGGACTACCATCATGGATTGATAAGTCAGGCCCAGAGTGAGCCTGTCTATCTATTGTGCATCTTACTGTGAATTTAATGTTTTGATGTTTTGTTTTTAATTGTGGGACTACTATCATGGTATCTTACATTAATTAGTTAATTTTCTGATGTGGGACTAGAATCATGGATTGAAAGGTGCAGCCCAGAGTTAGTTACCCTGCCTCATCTTATAGTGCATTTCATGTTTTGAAGACTTGATTTTAAATGTGGGATTAACATTATGTATTTTACATTAATTTTTAATGTGGGACTACCTTCATGGATTGATAGTCAGGTCCAGAGCGAGCCTGTTTCATCTAAGTGTATTTTATGTTTGATTTTTAATTTAATGGTTTGGTGTCTTAATTCTTATGCAGATTTGCTAATTTTTGAATATTTATAGTAATCAATTTATCCATCCGTCTCTAAAAAAAAAATGAATAAATTTCCGTTAACCTGAAAAGTACATGAGCGATTTGAATGGTTCTTGTACAAAAAGAAAGCTTATTAATTGGGCGTTCATATACTAGATTTTGAGAGTGCTACATGCAGAGCTTCTTTAGAAAAAATATGTCCTGATATTTTGGTTTCCTTTTTTTTTACTCACCCTGTATACCAGTACGATCTTTAGGTCAATTAGTAAGCTTTTTTGAAAGTACTTCGGTATAGGTTACTTTTGGCTGAATGCAAATGATCCTATAATAAACAATACATAATGAAAGCTTTGCAGAGTTAATACCTCTGGTTCCTTTCAGAACCATTCTCTTAGTTGAGAAATTATTCGCCCATGGTGTTTCCGCAAACCTTTCATTAAGTATCTCCACCATGCAAAGCCTCAGATCTTACTTATAATAAACATTAAAAGCTATTTTTTTTTATCATATTCCATTAATTTGTACATTGTTGTATTTTCAATGTGGATACCAAATACCCACATTAAAAATACAAATTAATGGAAAATGATTTTAAAAAGTTGCTTTCAAGGTATATAGGATCATTTTCATTCAGCCAAAAACAACCTATACCGAAATAGGGCCCTACTTTCCAAAAGCTCACTCACTAATCAGTCACCCCCATCTCTGTGGGCGGACTGCGACTGCGTAAAATACGCAGTCGCATTTGAATGATTTTAATTTTTATTACTTGTGTGTATTTTGTTGTGATTTACCTTTTTAATGTATCCTCCACACGGTGTAATTCTCTGTAATTTTAATATACAACGATTTTTAATGTGTGTAAATTAAACTGCAATTCGGCCTTTTGGCCGTGAAAGTTTAATAAAATAAACCATTAATAATAACAATAATAATAATAATAATAATAATAATAAATTAAAGATCGTACCGCCGTCTTGGCATGCTGTCATTTGGAAGAACTTTCCATCAGTCAGTTCTGTCAATGTTCCGGGGATTTGTCCATAACATTATCGTTAAGGCGACCCTCCAAAATTAATAGTGGTTTGAAAGGCACGTGGATGCATTCCAAACTCTAATTCTAGAATTTGAGGTTGTAAGGCATCCGCGTGCCTTCTATAGCACCATCATTTTGAGGGGTCGCCGCAACGCTAGCGCTATGGATTCACAAATGGCGATGATAGACGAAATACTTCCTACCGGAATTTCACTTTCTCACTCAAAAATCTCCCTAAAAAGCAGGCCTGACTGATCCATCTCTCTTTAAAATCTGGCAAAAATTAATGGTTTTTGAGACCTAAGAATGAAAATCTTCTAAAAAAGAAAGATTTTTACTTGCCGTTATTGGGTTCCGATGCGCGGGACGCAACATGCAGAAAAGTACGGTATATGGAAATCTTGGTCTCACCTGCTCAATATGCACCGTGTACATAGGCCAAATCTACCATTTTTCTTGGAAATACGAATTTTTCTAAAACGTTCGCACAATGCCAGTGCTGGGCCGAACGGATTTCACCTGAGGAACTATATTCATCGAAACAAAAAAAACAGAAAAAAAACCCTGAAATAATGCACTCATTCGTCGGGAAAAACGTTTAAAAACTGTAAATATTGGACTTTTTTAAATGGAGTTTGGCTGAAAATAACCCGATTTACCGTCCCTCGGCCTCTTTCGCGAGCCCTCACTGTTTACCCTGTGGTCGGGCGGCCTTGGGCCTAGTGGATTATGAATGTTCTTTTCCCAAGCTTTCATTTGATGTAAACCTGTTCTCAATGGTTACTCACTTTTATCGGGAAAACGAATTACGTAGAAATTTTCAATAATCATATCGAGCGTCTGTTCACCAGTTGGATCGTACCATTATAGTAGTAGGTACGACGCAAACGCAAATTCACGTGGTGTTCATCTTCCGCTGTGCACTGTTGCCTTTTATGGGGGTTGTTGTTTTGTTTATTGTGTAATTTTATACATAATTAATTGTTCAGTTTTTATCTATTGTTTTAAGTTGGTTTTTATCTGTTTTTCACAAAATCGCAGAACTTATGTTTTCAAAATATTCCTTTCGATTATTTATATCTGGTTATTCATTAAGTTTATTGAAGTTTGTGTTTTGTGTCAATTACTTCTTTTTTTCTAAGGTAGAAAGTCAGATGTCATGATGAAATCAAAGTTATAAAACTAATAAAAAAAAATTAAACATGCGTAGGCCTGTGGCCTGTATGAGCACACACGTCCTCATCCCCGGCACTGTTTATTCACCCATACTGGGTAATGGTATCGCCCTAATGCTAGGGTTTTCCGGTCAACCGCAAAATGTGTGCGAATGTCACACGCACAGTACAATACACCCGTTGAATGCATGCCATGTTATCCATGCACGTTTCGTGGTGTCGGAGACCATATTTTTCTTTGGTATAACTCACTGATAGAGCATCAGTTCAGTTTCCTGTCGGTACAGTTCCTAATTATATGGTTTACCGAAGGCTACATATAAAGCTTTTGCATTTAGAGAAGAACATCAATTGCAAAATACTCACACTCACAGGATATCCAGCAATGACCTAAATGTATGCAGAGATTCCTTCCTCTCACGGTCAACTATAGAGCAAGGTCCAATGTAGTAGTTGTTTGGGGTCAGTCTAGCCTTGACCAAGGCTATCAGCTTGTTCCCATACGAACTTGTTCCCGCTACCGCACACCGCGCGCGCCGCGACACAATCACTAGTTGTACTATACCGTTAGCCTCAACGACCCTTGCGTGTGCTTTGTGTGCATGTACGTACGCCCCACACACACTTCCGCAAACAGCCGTACGTACAGCAAGTCGAGGCGGAAGATAGCCTTGACGCAACCGTGGCGAATTCTTATGTGTTTCTTTATAGTTTCGACCGAAATCGGCCGAAAATTTCTGATGCGCATATATTACACGATATCCAATCAAAGCCCGTAAACTTTGACCCGCGATATACATATTCATGACCCGCAAATTACTGTATACACCACGTACATGTATGTTCACTCAAACCATGGTCCCATTTTAAGGTAGCAGACCAGTAAATAATCTTCCATAGACCCCAATGGTAAATGCTCCCACTTCAATAATTCGGGAAAAATACTCACAACTATCCAAAGTGTTCGAGACACACATCAAATTAAAGCTTATTTCATCATCTTTCATTTTCTTTTCAATTTTCGGGGGGTCAACTGATGACTTTTAGGAGAAATTTCCATCTGAAGATGATCACCCCTGAAAATAGTCCTGAAGCCCATCGCCATTTTGAAAAACGATGCCTACACTCCATTGCAAAATAGAGCGCTTTTAGGGTCCAAATTACATCAAAATTACACAGAACTGCAAGCTCCCAGTCCTGTGCACGGCTTCCACCCATATTTTTTACAATCCCTCAAGTTCATGGCCCACAGCATGCTCAAATACCGAAGATTTTGAGGGCATGCAAATCGTGATTTGGCCGGCGCAGGCAATTTCGGACCGATTTACTGGTCTGCACCCTTAAACCATTTCTCCAGTTTTATTACAAACAAATAAGATATGCCGCTATATGAGTGAACAATTGTTCAAAATGATATATTTCCAATGTATTGCGAATTGGACAGTTCAAGACCGTCCGCCGACATTTTCTCGGTGCAACAGCGTACATTATCACGCCGCTACCTACCCGTGCTATTCTGCCGGACAGCGAATGTAAGGAATAGGTCAACTCGGACCCAGGTCAAATTGTACCCATTTAATCGAATGCAGGTTAACTCGTATCTATAAGCACCCGTATGAATTAAGTGCAAGAAACGAGCTTTTGACTTTGGGATGGAAATATACGAAACTGTCAGGTACATGGTGAAATAAAAACTCTCCCTGAATTCGTACCATGTGCAACATACATGTACATCTCAAACGTACGACACATGTATTTTAACGCGTACGTATGAATCGTATGTCGTACCTACGACATACGTACGACATTTAAGTCGTAGATGTAAATCGTACGAGATACAAGTCGTTCTCACAAGATATGTTGTATGTACGACATAATCGACAAACAAGTCGAACATACGAGTGCAATTCATATTTTGTACACACGAGATATTAAGTCGTACTTATATATACGACTTTGTCGTATGCGACATATATCGTACCCTGTCGACTCGACTTATGCACGACATATATGTCGTACCGGCACCTGTCGACATTATGTCATATGTTTGATATGTCATACCCTGTCGACATATATGTCGTAACCTGTCGATGATATTAGTCGTACCCTGTCGAAATATGTCGTACCCTGTCGATATATTAGTCGTACATACGACATATAACTTATAAGTTGTTCATACAAGTTAAAATCAGTCTTACAGAATAAGTTTGCTGAAGGAGAGATACCCCTCCCCCCCAAAAAAAAAGTCAGCGGTAGATACATACTCAATAGTGTGAGCACTTTTTTGCCGCTGAACGTGAAAGCGCAGCGTGTCTCACTGCATGGCGCCAGCCGGGCCGGTGCCTACAGTGGACGGCCCCAACGTGGCCTCTGTGCATGGTGAGATCGTTTTTGCCGGCGTGCGGTTTTGTACCGTTTGCCGTTTTTTGAAGGTCTAATTTTTCATCCTTTTCATTTAATTTTCGACCCAAACTATGTGTACTTTTATAAATATTATTCTACTATTATTTAAGATTTTAAGGGGGTGTTTTACAATAATTATTGTTACCACAGGCCGTCTGGTTTACAAACCTTTGGTAGTATTATACAATTATTAAATATTCATATTTTTGTCAGCCGTTATCCAATGAGAGAAGACTATTTGCCATAGCGCGAACTAATTATCATATTCAGCATACACGGTTGCGTCAAGGCTATCTTCTGCCTCGACTTACTGTACGGCTGTTTGAGGAAGTGAGTGTGGGGCGTACGTACATGCACACAAAGCACACGCAAGGGTCGTTGGGGCTAACGGTATAGTACAACATTGTGTTGCTGCGCGCGCCGTGTGCAGTAGCGGGAACAAGCTCATATGGGAACAAGCTGATAGCCTTGGTCAAGGCTAGGGTCAGTCCGGTCACAGAGGTCCCGTTACATGCGGGCGGTATTACGGTGGTACGGTGGCCCACAACTGTCACGGCAAAAGAAAATTCTCCACGGCAAAAGCAAATTCCTCACTGCAAAAGCAAATGTGCACGGTGAAAAAGGTGCAGCATACTTCTGCATTTATTCAACATGTTTATACACTAGCGGGATGCCGCGCTTCGCGCGGCACAAGCCAACTGGTTGGAGTCGTAAAGTTCCCCCCTTTAAGACAAAATTTATAAAGCCGTATGACAAAAATCTGGGTCAAATCAACCAGGGGCGACCTCATACAATCATCTGACCAGACACCGAGACAGACATTTTGTTCATTGTGAATGGTCCGAGAAATTCCCCTAAATATCCGAGTTCATTATCCCCAACCGAAATCCCCCTAATATCTGAATTATTCATTGTCCTCTGAAGTACATCAGCTACAGCCAGCCTACCTTTGCAATTGGAAACCGGAATAAGCGAAAACCTTAGGGACTTGCACATGTAGGCGGAATGGTTTGATTTGGCTGTGTGCGCGGTGTGTGCTCCATCAGCTGGAGAGAACAACATTGAGCGGGGGATCGGAGCGGGGGAGTGGTGACCGTAGCATGCCCAGGAAGTGCCCCAACCATTTTGGCCAGGATTGCCAACCGTGACTTCCCGAGCCTGCCACGGTCACCCACTCCCCCGCTCCCCCGGTCAATGTTGTTTTCTCCAGCTGATGGAGCACACACCGCGCAATGAGAGACAACAAGATGCCCACCAAGATTTGGCCAGGATTGTAGCTCATAATTATGCGATGCGAATCATAGTAATATTTAAATATAGCTATATGGATGCGAATGCACTTAAATGTGTATCATTTAAGATTTTATATCTAGAGAACTGTAAGTCCGATTGGGTTGGAACTATGTATAAGCAGGGACGTGTTACAGACAAAAAATGGGTGATTTCAAAATGACGTCATCATGGGTCCCGATACGTCATCTTAAATGTGCATATTTTAAAGTCCTACAGGCTACAAGAACAGCTTAATAAATCACGAAACTATGTTCAAAACATTTTTTTTTTAACATAATGAGGAAAAGCCCTATGTTCTGTTCATGGAACAGACATGGACCTTGTTTGCTAATGTATTACCTTAACAATTCAATCATTTGATGTGTTTCGCGAATGCGTATCAAGGTAAACAACTTTACCATAGCCTGCAGAAGAAAACAAATGCTAGTGGGCAACCCATATAAAAAAATAATGTGGTTGAATCACAAACGGATTTATAGTGTGCTGTTCTGTATAGACTTTTCGGCTGAGGCCGAAATGGATCGGGCCCACGCTCCACTCAGTAGCCTACAGCATTCAGGTATAATAAACATGGTGATTTTGGCTAGGTCTGAATGAGGTTTTATTAATAGTATACTAAAGTATATTCAGAAATTGTGTACAAGACAATACATGTATCAGAATTAATTAATGCCATGGTTAGCCAAATCACAAATTTATAGGTATTTTTTTTCTTCAAATAAACCACAAAGAAAGACTGATTTGGTGCATTGTAATAATTTTTTCAAGGTTGAACAAAGACATTGACTGAAATGGGTTTGAACCTGCGACCTCCGGATTGCCGTCCCGGATACCAACTGAGCTATCCAACCTGAGCTATGTTGGCGGTTACCCAATGCCCTTGTTCTTGATTGATTTTGAATGAGAGGACAAATTGACGCAGAACGTATGTTTGTAAAGACAGCCGTCTTTAAAAAAAGGATAATTGTCTTGTAAATCTGCAAAAGCCATTCCTCATTTTGTCGTCTGGAATACGTCCAGGGTTGTGTTGCTAAATGAATGATTTCCATATCAAAAAGTCCATCTGTCACGTTGCATATTTTATATTTTCCCAGGCATGGATATGCTTCGCTGCCATCACAAACTTCACAGCGGCCTACTATCACGTGACTGCCGATGACGTCAACTGGTTGTCGCTCATATACCTCGTCGTCGCTGTGCCCGTTGGGTTCGTCACAGGATGGGTGCTAGATACGTTTGGCATTCGAACAGGAGTAAGTTAGCCCTCATAGAGCAAGTGCAAACGGAAATATGCTTAAAAGCTACAGTCCATCATTTGCAGCTATTCAAAAAGTAATTGACGTAAAGATTGTTGAAAAGCATACTTGGTTGAAAGATAGTAAGGGGACTAAACTCCCTCTGAAGTTATTCTTTCTGGCAAGCTGTCATTTTGAAGAAATCAACGGAAATTTCCGTTAGTTCGTTTTTTTTTATTCGGCGAAGCGCGGGCAAGCTTTGGCACGACGCACACGTGCGCGCGGTTGCTATTTCGTCGGATCAGTGCGCGACATCGCGTAGCTGCAATCGGCTCAGTGAGAACGTGTCTCGGACGCTGAATTCAGGCCCAATTCAAAACATGATTCAGCAACTTTTGATTTGAAATCGAGATCCTAGAATGCTGTTTTTCTCGGAATATACAGCTGAAGCTGAGCTGAAACTTCATCAGGTTAGTTGTTTAGCACCCTTCTTTAGATTTTGAGCACTTTTGTTGCTTCAATCGAACAAAATGCAACGCTACTCATGCTTTTGATATTACTCTTTGCATCATATTTGATTCTTTGTGGTAATGAAACCAGCGAATCTTCTAAAGTGAATAAGCATTGTAGCTCGTGAGCTTGAAGAACCAAGAAGGGGGAAAAAAGGTTCAGTTTAGAAGTGGGAGGAAAGCCCAGGAGTGTTTTTCTATAGGGAAAACCAGAGGAAACCGATACAGAGTGAAAGTCCAATCCATGTCAGTCCGAGCGGGATTGTAACCCAAGACACATATTTGGAAGGCTTTGAATTGCGCATTAACCCGAATCCTTAAAAATGTATTAATTAATATAAACCTATCTGTATGCATGTTTCTCCTAAATCTCTCCAAGATGTTGATAGGATCCTGGACCAATCTTCTCGGCATCATCCTGCGGTATCTCAGCACCCTCCCAGCCGTGCCCGAGGACGGCCGCTTCGCCGTGGTCATGTGCGGCCAGGGCCTGGCGGCCTTCGCCCAGCCCTTCCTGCTCTTCGCCCCGACCAAGCTCGCAGCGGTGTGGTTTCCGGAGAATCAGCGAGCCATCGCCAATACGCTGGGCTCCATGGCCAATCCCTTGGGTATCCTCGTCTCCTTTCTTGTGTCTTCGGCGATCGTCTCCAAGCCTTCCGATTTACCCACAATGGTTTGCCTCCTTCTGTTTTTTGTTGTTGCGATAATGGATCTAAAGTTGCGTTCCCTGTGCTATTTTCGAGTATCATAGATAAACAGATGTGTTTTTCAATTGCTATTTTCCTAGCAATATACTGCAAAAAGTTATCCATTTTTGAATGAGATGTGGAACGAGAAAATCCACCAACGTTTAGATATTGAAGTATTAAAAAAAACATCAAATTATTTATATTTGCTACCAAACAATAATTTGGCTCTCGTGGGGCTGTTTCATTTATGCGCAAAGTGAAGCCCCTTTTCAGAGGGATGAAGACTGCCAAAATCAGACGTAGTTCTGGGATTTGTTTTCGTTAAAAAAAACCATACAAATTAAAAAGTCGTTAGGGGATTTTTTTTCTTTTCGGAAGAGAACGGGTATGCAACGTTAGTGCAAAGTAGGGTTTACCTAATGAAAACTGTTTTAAAAGACCAAATAAAAATGTAGAGGTGGATAACCGGAGTTTTTTCGTCAAAAGTATTGTTTGTTCTTCTTCATAATTTGTTATTTTTTTTCCCGATTTTTTTAATTGGAAATACGAATGACACCCGATTGATAGAATTTGGCCTTCGGATGAAATTGTTTGAGGAGAGAATCGCAGTAAAAGGCCCAGGCTAAATTTTGAGTTGGTAACCATAGCAGAAACAAAGCCTAAAATGGTTTCAGTTTTGCGGCTGCTTGTCACTGAAATTTGACTTTCAGGAAAACTAAACTGCAAACATTCCGTTTACAATGTAAACGCCCTGTGAACGGGTCTGTTCAGAAGCAGTTAACAACGTGTTTATCTTTTAAACGCCTGTGTTTTTATAGTATTTCAAATGTTAGATTTCTCTCCCCTTAAACGCCAAACGTTTATAAACTTGCCAAAAAACACGTTTACAACGTGTTCAAAAGTTAAGCAATAGGTTTTACAGTGTTTATAGTATTTTGCTTTTCTTTTTACCAAGAAAAAAATGGGTCAAAATCATTTTTCAATCATCATCATCTTAAAATGTCGTCCCATTCTTGGCACGTGTTTAGGAAATTGCTATACTTATCCTAATGTTGTACTGATGTCTTTCTGTGCCTTTTTTTATTTTAGTTATGGGTGTACATTATCCCGGCGGCTGTTGCATGTGCGATGTGCACTTTGGGGGTGCATAGAAGCACCCCGCCCACCCCACCGACCGCCAGTGCTGCCGGAGACCATGAATCGTTTTATTCTGGAATGAAGAAGGTGAAACAATATTATAGACTTTAAAATTAATATCTTGAATGTTTGTTTAAAAAAATCTCTTGAAAAAAGACATTGACAAACCGCCAACATAGGGCTGGATGGTTCAGTTGGTAGAGCACCGGGACGGTGTTCCGGAGGTCGAATGACCAAATCCCGCTCCAGTAAATTTCTTTGTTCAACTTATGATAATACGTTTTCAAATGAGATTTTTGCAAGTTTTACAAATTAGTTCGTTGTTCCTATGTGCACACCTCAAGTTATTATTAAAGTGGTCATCTGCACACAGTGGATTTTTCAAGACCGATTTTATTGCAATCATGGAAATGTTTAATGTTCCATAGGTTGGCATAATTTCTGGAAAGCGAAAGGGGCAAAGTCAAGATGTGTGTGCATAACGATGTGCGGAAAACATTTAACATTGGGCAATTCTGCTGTCGGCCACCAAAAATCTTAATTTACCCGATGCACACAAGTCCGGCCAAAAGTAACAGTGGATGAACAATACCAAAAAAGGGGATGCCTTGGTCACCGGTTATTTGAATAACTTTTGACGTGACTTGGGACAAGATAGGCTAACTGGTGATAGACACTCCACAACACTGCTCAGAAGCCACGTTCAGTTTTATTTTACCAATTCATCAATTTTCTTCTTGTTTATCCCAAGTGTGTTCGAAATGTCCCGTTCATGATTCTCCTGGTCACCTTCGGGGGTGGTTATGCAATCTTCAATGCTCTCAGCACCTTTATGGAGCAAATCGTCTGCCCGATAGGTTACAACGACGTAAGTATCATTAGCATTTTACAATGGGTGCGCAAAATGTTTAGGCTTCATAAACTTTTATGCGATGTTTTTGAAGCGAACAAAGTATCCCGATATATGACTCTATAATTAAGGTTCATTTCCCATTTTTTGGTCTGAACTTTTGTACGATTTTCCCCCCAGTTTCTTAAATTTCCCCGAATTAAAAAAAGCAATTTCTTTAAATTTCTTTCAAGAAATATCGCCAACTTTCATTTTTTCCCTACTGTTTCTTTTAGAAATCGGATCATTTAACCATTTAATTAACTTTTGCATCTCAGTTCCCCCCCCCCCCCAAAAAAAAGAAGCGGCCCTGAACCGATCCTGCGTTTATCACTCTACCAATCTTGATGACGCTCTGTGTACATGTGCGCTTCCCATGTGACCCGGATTAAATTCAACTCAATTCAATATATCTATTTCCGGGTCAAAATGGCACTTTCCCTGAATCATGTTCCGGGTCGTGTTGACACTGGAAAACTTGCCAAAGTGTCATTTTAAATGAGAAAAGGTGTGGTGGGAGAAATCGGAGATTTTAAAAGTTCTGGTTATCATTATTTTTCAAACTGAATAACGGTGATACGATTTCACAGGAATTTTCCATCCAGCTCGCAGTAATGCCAACAAGTGACGAGTGAGGTGCCGCATGCAGTGCCCTCCCAGTGATTGGGTATAGTTTGCAGGACTCAATGACTACTGGCCCTTTAGTACAAAACACTCCAGAGCTGTATAAAATATTGAAAATTGGGTGGGAACTTTTTCATAAGTCGAAGGGGCAGGCTATTCATATACCAAGAAGACCCTAGGGACCATGGAGCAAATTCTGGCATGCTCAAGTTGTTTTCTTTAGCCTGTGTCACACACAAAAAATGAAGGCTTTTTAAAAGTTGGTTTCGAATATCCGGTTTCCAAAAATCGAAACCGAAAGTGGAATTCAAATCTGATCGCCTCTTAAAAGTGTTTTGAAATTCTGAATTATTATCAGAGCTGTTTTCCCCTTTCCGACAGGATTTTGCTGGTTTGGTCGGTGGTATGATGATAGCCTTCGGTCTTGTCGGTGCTATAATCGCTGGGTTGATCGTAGACCGGACTCAGGCCTTCACGCCCGTTACCAAGATATGCTTCACTTTAGCTGTGTTAAGTATCATCGGAATGGCGCTGGTAAGAATGGCGTCGGAACCTACTTTGTTTTGAAGTAGATTTTTTTTCACACCAAACTCTGTTCTATCAAAAAGTAAAGTCTGTCACGAGGCAATGTGGCCCATCAGGCCGGCGTTTATCTCCGGTTTCAGTAGCATGAAACGACTGAGAATATTTCTACTCCCCCCTGGATGGGACGCCATCGCAGGTTACTGCCCAGCTAATGCCGGTATCCATTTATACTCCTGGGTGGAGAGAAGCAAGTGGGGCTGAAGTGGCTTGCCCAAGGACACAACATATACACAGCAGCTGGATTCGAACCCCTGACCCTCTGATCATGAGTCACGCACCCTATAACCACTAGGCCGCACTCCCCACCATCAAGTGCCTTTTCATTTATTACACGTTGATTGTAAACGAAAACAACTACTTTCTCCTATGTTTTGGCATCTGCGACCCTCTGGAAAGACTACATGTAGTCGCATTGAGTTAGCTTTCGGCGCACTTTAAATATAACTTCATGGCACTAACCAATCCAGCTTGTGAGTTGACTGGTTCCCAGTCTCCACATTATCGATTGTGATAATGGGGCGGGGACCAGTCTACCTGCGAGAACAAAATTATTGTTTGGCTGCAACATGTTCGAAATTGGAAATTTAATTACTCATGTTTCATAACTAAAAAACGTGGGCCGTTGCTAAACATGCACTTTCTACGTAACACCTTTATGAAATTGGGCCAAGATTTAATGTTTCTTTTTTTCTCTCTGTGGTGATCTTGTTTGTCCGCATTCCTTGCTTTTTTAGAAACACGAACTAAAAAGGGATGTAATGTCACATGGTGCAACCGTACCATTATTACTATCACTCTTGTTGTGGAATTAAGTTTAATTCAACTCCTTGCAATTCCTTCCAATCTTGTTGATGCAGTTCACCCACTTCGACAACCTGGGCATTCCGGTCGCTATTTTTGCCGTGGGCTTCGGCCTCTTCGGCTTTGCCATGTTCCCGATTGCCTTGGAGCTCGGTGTCGAGTGCACCTATCCCGTGGCGGAAGGCACCAGCTCTAGCCTGCTCCAGATATCAGGGTACGGTCTTAATTGATCACTTTCAAAAACTCTGTCTTCGTTTCCGCCTTCATCCCTGGTTACAGATGTCTGATCACTATAATTTATACCGAGTTGGGAAGCACGATGCGAAGTAATGTGAAACCCTAAAAGGGGTCAACATTGTATCTAAGATCTCGTTTCAAACGTTCTAACTCACGCTTCAAGCGTCGTAGTTAACCTTTTTCTAAAGAAGCCTTTTTAGAAAAAATCACAAAAGTCTATTTTCTGTGGACATTAATTCGGTTTTAGTGTCGTTGTCTACATGCATTAAAATAACAAAAATACCTCCAAGAACTTTCTTTTTGCTTGTAAACATTGAGCGCCATTTTGTTTGGGCTGCCACAGGGTCATAAATTAAAGCCGCGGTTGGCAACAGATTTGGCTAAACAAATTACATATTAACACCCTCCCAATGTATTAAGTCTTTGGTAGCGTTTGTTGGTTATTTTGTATTTTCAACAATCCAATGATTTGTAACGATTCTTTGTTTTTGCAACGTTGACCTTTCATAGTTTGCCAACCCTTGGTTGGCAAAAAGTGCCAACCAGGCCAAGGAAAAGGTGTATATTCTATCAGTTTCACTTTTTCGTGTCTTTTTGTAGCCAATTTCAAGGCATCATCTTGATCCTGATTGGTCAGTTTCTGGCCCAACCCCTCAACACTATGGACGCGCCCGTTCAGCAATGTATTCCAATCAACACGACAACCGTCGGCACCCTGGCACCAATAACATTAGCGGATAATGTTACCTCGGCGACGTCAACCACTGAGAGGTACCAATATTCGCCGATTTATATACAGGATATGTCGGGTAAGTTCTCACAATAACTGAACCTACCCAGAGCTGTGTATATAGGGAGTTGCGACAACTATCAATAATTTGGACCCCATTAAAGGTCCAACTCAGCTCGCGTAGCCGTCTGTAACAGGGCGCTATGGGACTGTTATGCACAGTCACCAATTTCTGTAATTTTCTTGTGAACACTATTAAACTAACCCGAGAATCTCATGAAGGAATGTTTCAGTCCCCATTTGTGGACCCAAAATGGCGACCAGAATCGGCTCTGACTGTACCAATCTTGCTATTGAAGCTGCTTGTTACACCTTGGTGTTGTAACAAAAAAGATGTGTGGGGGGTGCTTGCCCTCAGACATACAAAAAAACAAGCTCAATCGGATCTGGGAAGCTGGGGGCCAACCAATTCGTGTTCATGCATGAGTCACGTGGTGGTTCCATGTAATTTCTGGAACGAGTAGTGTTTTGAGTAAAACAATTCTGTCAGTTTTTTACCCCAGTGACCCCATAATGACCTTTGACCCCAGTTTGGTCATGTGATATGTTGGGGCTGCAGGCTACTGATACTTTTGACAAGCTTGGTTGAAATCGGTCAAAATATATAGAGCCGATAGGCAATGTCAACGTTTGTTACAAACTAACTAACTATCGGAGAGACACCATTTGTTGAGCTGCTACCCTCAGCTAAAAGCATTAGAAATGGTGCAGATACGGGAAACGTCCTATAATGCGGTTCGGGAATATCACCATTTTTATGTCACCAAACCCTCATACAAAACATGTACATGTATACAGTTATAGACCTTAACATTGTGATGTAAAATGCACTTTGCCAGATGAAATGACCACGCAAAATTGTGATTTAACAGACAGCCATTTTCCCGAGCCGCATACATATCCCGTATAGACGCATCGTTTCTACATTTATATTGTGTATGTAGGCCTATTGTCTTCGAGTATGCCTGCTGTTCTTATGTCCGCGTCCTACAAATGAAAATGAGTTCTCTCCAAGTTCTCTTCTGTTGTTTCCTTCTAGTTCCCCTGTACGTTTATGGTGGCTACGCCATTGTTATCTGTTTGATACTGGTACTCGCGTTCAGGACTACGTACAGACGCATAGAAGCAGAGCAGGCTACCAACAACACATAATGTATACATAATTATAGACGAGAATCAGTTGACAACTACTAGAAGATGGACCGTGGACGGTGTACGTTCTATGGCAGCAACGGCCTCATTACGCCATGTGTATACCAATTGTTCTGGCTCCAAGGCATGGAAACGACACGAGTCGAAGACTGTATGTTTGACGGAGCTATAGTTTCAAAGCGATTAGGGGCCTAATTCTTTCCAAATAATAATGCATTAAAGGGTATCTTGTGGCTAATTTCATGGGCCTAATGGTTATAATTATATATGAAATAATAGAATATATATATTTTTTAAAATTGCTAATTCCGAGGCCTTCTGAATGATCTGCGTATCGGAGATTGCTAACGTTTCTGCTGTGGCATGGTGCTCACGATCTCCGCGTGCTATCTACAATACAAATCGGGTCATATTTATGCCGTCATTCTCTGTTAGGCTATAGCACTCTTAAATATCTGTTTGTCAGTTTTGATGGGAAAAGTATTCAAAATTGCATGCACCAGCTGAATACAGCCATATTGGGTGCAACCTTTTGCCAGGGAAATCTGACTAAAAAAATTTTTTTAAGTGTACGTTCATGCCCATAAACCGTTCTTGTGCAGTTTTGTTAAAATTATCAAATTCGTATATTTAAGTGCATATACTCAGGGTATCGTTTAGCTCCACCATATATTTTTTGTTAAATAATAATATGGGTGTTATGATATTAAAAAAATTTAATTGTCCGAGTACGTAAACTTTCACTATATTTTTGAAGGTCGGTTAAAAACCGTTTTATATAATAGGTAACACAGCCGGCAACGTGCTAATTTTTACCCGTATGATTTCAGTGTTGAAGATATATGTATATCATTTGCATTTTCGATGTTAAGGGATATCTGATTCGTTTTTAAATTTAGCTAGAACAGATAATGATTTGAAGGTTATTTATTATCTAAATTCCTGTTAACTAATGTGCCCTTAAGGGGACATTTTCGTCATAAGTTATACCTTGGGGAGACGCCGGACATTAAGGAGACATTTCAATGTCTCCCTAGGCTAGATCGATTGCTCATGGTCCAAAACTAAAATTTACTAGAATTCGTGGGGGTAGGATAAGATAAATTGGGGTTAGGGCATTAAAGTTGGAAAATATTTGTGCACAACTCTATGGGAATGTCCCCCTCAGGTAACCTTCCCCGTTAAATCTTTGTTCGTATTAATTTGTATATATGGTAGAACAAAATGGTAGCACCTGTTAAGTAAATGTATTCTTAAAAAGTTAACTTAGATTCCACCCGTCCTTGTCATTATTTTGTATGCCTAATTAAAAAGCCATTTTGATCAACCCTTTCGCTTCTATAAAGTAGTCGTTTGTTCCGTCCTCAAGCCGTAAGGCGATGACTTGGCCTATCGAATCCAGTCGATAACACATGGAACAAGAAACAGAGTAAAGCCCAACGCACACCTTTCCGATTTTACCGGTTCACCGGATCACCGTACATGTACACCGGGCGACCAACATGTTTGATTCTTTCGCATCCGATTTCACCGGATACGATGCCACCGGAAAGGTGTGCGGCATCGGGACAGCACTCTGATTTCACTGGACGCAATTCATGTAGTTGTGTGAACCAATCAGGGGCGTCAATCGGTGGGGGACGGGGGACAACCCCCCCCCCCCCTACATGTTAAAGTTGGGGATATCATATCGTTTGCCCCCCCCCCCCCCACACACACACACACACACAGCCCATGTCGCCACCATATTTGGCCAAGTAAAAAAAATACCAGTTGATATCTCCGCCCTTTTCCTCACTTTTTGAGGCTTTTAATTGTGTGTGTGTGTGTGTGTGTTAATTTCAGGCATTGCATTTTATTAAAATGTTTTAGGAGTTCAGGTGCTTCTAACATAGCTTGAATAATGTTCAATAAGCACTTTTAAGAAGGGTTTTTGGTTATCAACTTGTAGACGACTATCCCAGAACTATCAAATAAAAAGGACCTCTTCCTTTTTAAGGCACATATCGGGTGAGCTAAATATGGCTATTTCAGCCCATTTTTCAATAAAAATTTGTTTTTTAAAAAAATCCCTCATCTTCCTCTTTTTGAAAAAAAACCCCGGACGGTCAACTGGTGTTTTTTTATTACTTGGCCTTATAGCAATTGGGTTGAGGGAGAAGCGGGTGGGTACATTATGGATGGATGGGTAATTTATTTATTGGCAACCGTTAGGTTGGATTACACATACACACTTTTTACATAAAATTAACAGCTGGAAATACACCCACACACACACCCACACCCACCCAGACTTGTTTCACATACCTAGTGTGGACTTTCCTTTCTTTTCGTGTAGTTAAGGAACACCAGTGGAAAAACTCATTTTTCTCAAACTGTGAAAACTCTTACATCCCAATTTTTTTTCAATGATTCCCTCTAGTGTTTCTCTTCATTCTGCTACAGATAAACCTAACCCAAAAATGCCTCTAAACCTGTTTTCCAGAAATGGGGAAACACTGTGTGGACGTGGGCAAGTCCACTCTTCGTCGCTGCTACCTACATTATGTGGACGTCTTTTGTTCGGAAGTCCACACTGCGTATGTAAGACAAGCTCACCCCCACCCCCACCCACACACACACAAACAGATACTAAATACAACAAACAGTGATCCCAAGCTAAAAACATAAGAAAACAGGCAGCTCTATGGGAGATTGCATTTTCTGCAACCAAGCAATGCGTATGTTTCAGTTGACAGCGGAAGCAATCTCAAAGCTTTACGTCCCTTAAAAACAATACTACTGAGCTATGCACCAAAAACGAAACGTTGAAATTTATTTTATTTGAAGGTGAGACTTAAAATATGAAAGAAAGAAAATTGGGGAGAAAGAAAAAGAAAACAAAGCGGTCAGTGGGATTTGAATGTTCGGCGTTCCTCGCCTCGATCTTCGATCCAAACATTTTTGGATTCTAGATGCTCTGTGGCGCGATCTGAGGCAATTTCTGACCACTTTGGGAAAAGATGGGGGTGTACGCAGTGCCTGTAGTAATGTGACAAGAGATGGTTTTATGGGAAGACAAATGCAATGTGTTTATTCTTACACAAGCTGATTTACCCGATCATAGATCGGGTAGGGCGTAGTGTTGGGGGTGAAAATGTGGGGAGTTAAAATAGGGGATATAGTTGAGGAGACATGCAGTTACAGAAAAGCAATTTCTGTGGTGTGATCTGAGGCAATTTCTGACCACGGAAACCAATTTCAGCAAAAGATCATCTGTTAAAGTTTTGAGTTTTGAGTAATTGAATCAGCTACATGTATTCTGAGCAATAGAATCATTACTGTAGGCTACAATTTGGCAAAATTATCAGTGTGCATAACATGGTGAACACAAGAGGGCGCTATACAACATAACCACGTTGGCTTACTCTACATTGCCTGCCTTTATTGCGACGTCACTTTAAAAAAGTGACCGGAAGAAATCTCCTGCATGTTTGGATATATTTTTCGCATCCGATTTCACCGGATCCGATTTCACTGGAAGTATTTTTTTGTTTACTGGTCAGATTCACGAAAGAAGTCACATGATTGTCATCATGTGACGTAAGGTCAAAAAAACGATGGAAAAAAGCGTATACGCGGTGATGGGCTGACTGGCGTTTGGCTGTACTGTATATCAACAGTTGGCTGCTATATTTGGCTTTTTTCGAAAATCGAAATTTTCGGCAAAAATAATCACGCCGCCAAGTGGTTAATATGACTGCTATTTTCAAACTCAGCGGCAACAATCAGTGCTTGTTTTAATTTCGTTTACAGTTCATGAGTGTGTGGTCGAAGTAAAATTAATAGTCATTCTGTATGTATGTCTTTGATGTCATTTTCTTTTTTCTATTGCATATGATTGTTAAAGTTCCCTAAAAGAACTCATAAACTGTCTTCTAGCACCAACGTACAAGAAAGACTCACGATAGGTTGAAGATGCTCATTTTCATTTGGTTGTAAATAACAGCATTATATGAAGCTATTTGGCCATATCATTCATCGTCAAAATGAATACACAACGAAAATGACCTAATTTCATGATCCTTCACCATTCACTTTAAAGCCTTTTAAAATTATTGCCACGATAACCTGGATAAATTTCCAACCACTTTCTCAACATTACATTGTATTTCATCAGCACAAGACTAACGTAATGTGTAGTTTCTCTTTACATTGACTGTCTTTGTATTCATAATGTGGCGTTCCAGTTTCAGATTACCTATAAAGTGAGTGTGTAGTTTGTTCGTTTATGCAGCCGGCAAATATTGAAGGGGGATGCGTGCTAAAACTATTCGGAATGTGCCTCATATATTTAACAGATAATGCCAGAAAATTATATTTCTGCTTCCGATTACATGGCATTTGAAAATAGGGTAGGTAGGTAGGTAGGGATTTGGGGGGTTTTTTTTTGGGGGGTGGCATTTTTTGTGTTCGATCATATGGAGGTGTCTGAGTGTAGTCAAGGGTAAAATGTAGTAATTGATGGTTTTCAGGGTTTTTCCTTATTTCCCCAAACAAAATTAGGGTAGGGGCTGTCAAAATATAAAGGGTAGGCAAGGTAACTGGAAGCAGAACTTCTTCTTTTTTTGGCCTAATAAGCGGTGTGAAGTAACAAACAAACATGACTGTCATCTTTATAGTAAAATCTAACAATGAAGAGAAATATGAATCATAAAGAAAAATACTGAATAACCCCTGCACAGTAGGAAATACAATTTTTGACACTGGATTTTGTGCAAACTGGGACGAGAGATACGTAGCATAATTGTAACATTGCAAAATCATGAAACATTGACTCTTCATTATAACCCTTTGGCTCCCAGGAGAATAAAGTACACACAAGTCTCGATTACCAGGAGCATTTGGAAAAATTTCATTGTGTAGCGCCCTCGTACCTCATGCATGGAGGACAGGGCCTATTGCTTGCCCAGCAAATGTAAACAATATGTGAACTTTCAAACCGCCTGCATGTTTATTACCCTTGATATGATGTGTTCACCAAGATTATGTAATCGGACACGCGCAAATACAATCTATGTATTTAGGAACTAGTTCAAGCCCCCCCCCCCCCTCCCCCGTTCAATGTTGTTGGAAATCGGGCGTGCAGGCAAACTGGCCAATTCCCCCTAGCAACATTGCATTGGGGGGGGGGGGGATTATGTTTATGTTCACATAATTGAGTAGTCTGTTTGATTATGCTTCAACCTTGGAGTTAGATACACAACGCATAATGAGAGACATTTCGTCGAGAGGGGGCGCTATTTACATTTTCGCAAAATGCAGAATGGCTTGGTGCCAATTTAGGAAGAAGTGGCGTTCGACTTTTGGTGCCAAATGGAGCAAGGGAGTGAAAGGGTTAAAGCATTACCTAAATTTTACGATCATTGCTTTAACTAAGGAGGCAAGATAGCAGATTTCTGAATGAAACGTCTGTCAAGGGTCAACAGACTTTTGCCAAATCGACCAATGTATCGAATAAATTGCCCAATTACTCTGAAATACATCATCTTTGTTAGTGTATGTAGTTTGAAGAATGAAGTGAATAGGTATTTATTTTTTTTGTACTGAAGAATATAATGAAACTTTATTGTAAGGTTGAGAAATCGCTGTTAAGCCTTAGGAGAAAAAAAAGGAATTGTGTGTCAGTTGAGGTACTTGTATAAAGTGCAACGTGTGAATTTTTTATATATTTTTTATTTAGAAGGCGGTAATATCTACCTTAGAATAAGTCCACTAAAGGCCCCATGATTTCAGGTGAATTACATGTTCTGCAAAAATAGGGCAGAATTTCTACAGGAATCAATGTTGAATTTCTAAACGTGAATCCACATTCACAATCCTGGATGAAACTCTACAAAAGACTGTAATACAAGTTAGCACGTGATTATAGCACGTGATTAGCATCCTTCTTTGTTTAGCTGTTATACTTAAAGTATGGAAATCACCTAGAATCATACATGTAGTACAGTAAAGAACATTTATATAGTTATGCATAGCGTAGAGTGGTAACATTTATTCAGATTTCACATTTGTTTTTGTTTAGCACTGTCCAGTTTATTTTTAAGTTTTTCAGGAATGATATGTATACAAGTGCACGACATGAGTCTTGCAATCATACAAGGTTGAAGAAGGCATTGAGAGCTGGTTTGTGCTGTGCTGGGTAATCTGTTTTCTTTCTTTCTTTTTATGGACAATGGGAGGGATATTAAGACGGCATTTTATTAGAGAGGTAGATGGGGGTGTAATGGGAAATTTGTTTCCTTTTCTATGACAATTCAGGACAAAGTGAGAAATGTATTCTCTCCAA